ATGCGAAAGGTGATGATGATGGCTCTGATGACGCTGATGACGATGGTAGCTATTGCGCTGACGAGGAGGCAGAAACAGTGCGCGCCGGCAGCAACCAAGCCATCCTGACATGATCTCGGCGTGCGCGCGCGCGGCAACGTCCGCGTGTGGCCCGCACAATATTAGTTGACAGAGTTGGTGGGCGAGCGATGGTTGTGTAACGTTCCCGACGTGGTCCCGCGAATGGCCCGGGGGGCTCTGCTGCGACAGATCGGATGCACACCTATGGAGATCCGCCCGTGGATCTCTGGAACTGTCACCGAGTGCGCGCGCAGAGTTCTGAAAACTCGGATGTCCACAGGTCGCTCGTTTCTGACAGTCATTGACTGGGCGTGTCTTGAGCTTCGCACCATGGTCTCCGAACGATCTCGGCGTGCGCGCGCGGCGGTGAGCGCGCGCATGCCGTGATGCTCGCTGCGAGGGGTTCTCCCACATGGCCTTTTGAGATAGACGAGCGCGCGCGCATAACCTGCCACCGTGGAGGAGTAGGAGGAGGAGGAGGAGGAGGAGGAGGAGGAGGAGGAGGAGGGGAGGAGGGGAGGAGGAGGAGGGGGAGGAGAGGAGGAGGAGGAGGAGAGGAGGAGGAGGAGGAGGAGGGCCCCCTGGCGCGTTGAGGCGTGGACGGATGCCGCTGGCGGTCCAGCAATGCTTTCGTGTGATCCAGTGCGGGGCCGCCCCCCCCCTCTCTGCCCGCGGACCTGCTGCATGCCTCGCCCCTCCTTCCCGGAGCCGCTGCCCTCGTGCCCGCTCGAGAACGGTGCACTTCCCGCGCCACCACCATCAGTTGGAGGGGGAGGGGGTCCTCCTCCTCCTCCTCCTCCTCCTCCTCCTCCTCCTCCTCTTCGTCCTCCTCCTCCTCCTCGCCCTCTTCCTCCTCCTTCCCCCCTCCAACTTATGGTGGTGGTGGTGGAAAGCAGGCTCATCAAAAGAGCTGTGGAAACTTCCCAACGGCGCTTCCATTCGTGCTCGCGCGGGGATGGTGCACTTCCCGCATGTCAGCTAATGCCCGAACCCTCATTCCATGCGCGCCCGCTCGAGGACCGTGCACTTCCCGCATCCCAGGCGCTGATCCCAAGCGCTCCAGGGCCTCCCAAGCAACGATTCCTGATTAAAAACAATGGCTGGTTTCAAGACGGCCCGTACAGACAACCAAGGACACCAGGATGACCCACGATGCCTCGAAGACGGCCCAAGATGGCCCCGAGGCGGCCGAATACTTGTCCAAGACGGCCCAAGATGCCTCCAAGAGGGCCCAAAAGGGCCACAAGAGGACCTCCGGCAGGGCCCGAAGACGCCATAATCATTGATTGGCATTTGGTTTTACACGATTTTCACTCGCGCCTTCTCGGGCTGCCGTCAGCTCTCAAGACGGCCCAGGAGGACTCCACGATTGCCCCAGAGGCATCCAAGACAGTCCCAAGGCAGCTCAAACGGGCCTCCCACTGGACCCAAGACGGCCCCAGAAAGCCCTTCGGCGGCCCAAGACGGTGCCGAGGTGGCCCCACGACGGCCCCCAGACACCCACCACACGGCCCAGAGGGCCCCATGATGACCCAAGAGAGCCCCGAGCAAGCGCAAGAGGGCCCCCAGACTGCCCAAGAGGGCCCCAAGGGAACCCCAAAACTGCCTTACAGGAAGCCACGGCAGCCCCAAGACGGCCCAGACAAGTTTCATCATCAACGTCATCACCATCACCATCACCATCACCATCACCATCACCATCACCATCATCATCATCATCATCATCATCAGCATCATCATCATCATCATCATCATCAGCAGCAGCAGCAGCATTATCATCACCATCACCATCACCATCACCAGCATAGCCAGCAGCAGCATCAACAGCAGCATCATCATCAGCAGCAGTACCATCATCATAACCAACGTAATCGTCGCCATCGTCCTCCTACTCCACCTCCCACTCCTCCTCCTCATCACCACCATCATTGTAATAATCAGCATCAGCATCAACACCATCATCAGCAGCATCATCATCAACATAATCACTATTGCTGCCAACAGCATCCTCATATACATCATCAGCGTCTGCACCGTCATCATCATCAGCATCGTCATCACCAGCATCAGAATCGGCGTTATCATCATCACCATCATGATCATCATCACAATCAGCATCATCAGCAGCATAACTATCATCACCATCACCAGCATCATCAGCATCATCATCGTCATTATCATCAGCATCAGCAGCATCTTCAGCATTACCACAACCATCGTCGTCGCCATCAGCATCATCACGAACATTAGTATCATCATTCTCATCATGACCATCGGCATCAGCATCAGCATCATCATCGTCATCGTCGTCATTATAATCCATCTCCTCAGCATCATCATCCTCGTCGTCATCATCGTTATCGTCATCATCAGCATCATCCTCACCCTCATCCTCATACTCATACTCATCCTCATCATCATCGTCACCACCCCTTATCATCCTCATCATCATGATCATCATCATCATCATCATCATCATCACCACCACCACCACCACAATCATCAGCATCATCATCATCAACATCATCCTCATCACGGCTCTACCAGCCTGGAGACACGAGGCGTCACACGTGACGGCCTCCCGTGCCCCCTCGAACAGTCGCCACCCTGAGTGCTGGGCTGTCACGGTGGCGGGACTTGCGGCAGGCAGCTGGATACTATTTGACAGGGATGCAGGGGGGTCACTACCCAGTGGCTGGGGTGGAATGAATTCACATGGGCAACGATGAGGCATCATCATCACACGCACGCTGCAGTGTGCCAGGGGGGCGGGTAAGTCCAGGGGGGAGAGGGTGGTTGAGCTTATGATTTGGGAGGGGAACGTAGGCAGTGCCATTTAGGAAACCCTGAACCCAAAAACGTTTCCATCTCTCGGGGACGCATTCTGCCCTTCCGCCTCCTTCCGGCGGAGGCGGCTCTCCGGCTTACTCCCGCCGACCTTCGGCCGCCCTTCGCCGCCCTCCGAGGCGGAAGGGATGAGCACTCCTCCTATGCTCGAAGCATTCCTGAAACGCCGTGTCGTCGTGTGCAGGCTCGTCGTGACGTCTAGCCAAGGAAGGCGCTGGAGCCGCGCGACTGGAGGAGGAGGAGGAGGAGGAGGAGGAGGAGGAGGAGGAGGAGGAGGAGGAGAGGAGAGGAGAGGAGAGGAGGAGAGGGCAAGGCCCTCCCTGAAGCGCCTCATGCATCTCTGGGGCGTGCTGGCTTCTTATGTCGTCAAGGAGCGCGCGTCAGCGCACGAAGCGCCCACAGGGCACCTCACCAGCCGCACGGGTGGCAGACCCAGCCTGCGCCCCCGAGGCGCCCGCGAGGCGCCGGCGAGGCGCCTCGCCCCAGCGCTGGCACAACGCCTGGATCTGACTGCTGCCTCGCAACTGCCTTCCCCCTCCTGGGTCCTCCTCTGCTTCCCCCCGTGGTCCTCCTGCTCGTCCTGCCGCTGGTGCCCCTGCTCCTCTTCTCCTCCTCGTCCTCGTCCTCCTCCTGCGCATCCGCCACCCGATCCTGGTCTCCCTGCCCCTGCTCCTGCAGTGTACGGCCGGACCCAGGACAGAATCGCATCATTCAACAGCATGAGACTCTCCAACGGCCAAAACACACAGAACAGCCGAAGGTACCCTTCCCAGGATGCACAAGAACATCCATCAAGCACGAAGAACATCAGGGTACCCTCCCCGAACCGACCTTGATCTTCTACCCCAATCCGACCGTACAAGACCACCGAGTCTGATCGCGCATCACACGATGGGGCCACATTGAGGATCAAGGTCCACTAGGAAACCCGTGGGCGAACAGAAAACAAGCATTCAGCGCCATTGGAAGGGACTGCTACTCCGAGTTTCTTTCAGAGCGTCGGGGGGGCGTCACCCCCGCCGACAGCCCCACATCGACCCCCGTCGCGAGCAGCCACCGCGCGCCGAAGGAGCTCCGACGCCCGTCGCGGTGCGACGACGAGGCGAGGTTGACCCCCGTCGGAGGGGTACCCCCCACGCTTGTTAAGAAACCCAGAGCAAGAGGGGTGAGACATCGTTGTATGGTGCGAGCGTGCCTGAATTCGTGCTGCGCCTCTGCCCCACCCCACCCCCGTCCACCCCTCCCAATCGGAGATCCGACGTTGCTCACAAACTGCAACATCGCGAAATATTATAACCAGCGCCCCGGACCCCATCTCTCTCTGTCCTTTTTCAAGCCTGCTCGACCTGCGAGGGTCCCAGGGCCCGGAAACTTAGCGAAACCGCCCGCTGTGGAGCAAATGCGGCGCCAAAACCTCACGGGCGCCCCACACCCCATCCCTGCGCATCCCTTCTCGTCCGCTCCGGTTGGACGACGAAATTTTGCAAGCTCTTCCTGACCGCGTGCAGCTGCACCTACATTGCGACGCAACCTCGACGAACAATACCCGCCCCTACATTTCAATGTGGGCATCAAGCGAGTACCGCAAGTCCAGATGGACAAAATGATGCAAGTCACCATTTACATGTGGGGGGGGGTCCTCAGATATCGATGGACTCTGATCCAAGTTGGCCCGCTGTTTCTCAAAACGCTCAGAGAATTTGCGATACTTTTCGGGGGCGCGCAAATCTAGATTGGCGATCCATGGATCTGGCGCGCGGTCGCCAAATCCATGGATCGGGGGAGGTGCCCTCCCCAAAATGCGGCCGGTGCAGCCTCGCTCGGCGGCGGAAATCCGCGATGTCCCATTGATACGGGGCCCGTCGCTGATCCACGCCGCCTTGTGATCCGTGCTTGCAATCGCCTGAAGTTTGTCTACCCGCAGTCCTCCTCCTCCTCCTCCTCCTCCTTCTTCTCCTTCTCCTCCTCCTCCTCCTCCTCCTCCTCCATCTCCCTCCTCCTCCTCCTCCTCCTCCTCCTCCTCCCCCTTCCCCGCCTGGGCCTGCCTCCCCCCCCCCGCGCATGCCCCCTGATAGGGGGGCCCGCAAGGGGGCCTTGCCCGCGGAGATGTCGCACACCATGGACGGTATGCCGTGGGGCATCTGCATCTGCAGCACGCTCTCCCTGGCGGAGGGTTAACGTCGGGCATGTCCCCTTTCGGCGGTGGACAAACCTCCCTTTAATAGACCTCCCCTTAGCGAACACGGCCTGGGACCGAAACCGACGGGCCTGGACCCGCAAACATGACGACCCTGACGCCCTCTCGCGAGCCGAAAACGGCCAATTCCTTCATCGACGTGTCATGGTAGGAGGTCTATCCACCTCCGACCCTTACAGGGGGGAGGGGCGTTACGTTATCAGAGTGAGGGGGCCGAACGGTCATTCACTGTCCCTGGGTGCGTGGCTGACGTGGAATTCCGCGGTGCGGATTCTCGTTGTTGTTGTTGTTGTTGTTGTGGTGGTGGTGGTGGTTGTTGTTGTTGTTGTTGAATATTATTACTTCTAACGAATAATTATTGTTGGGCCCCCTGGTGCACGCCCCCCTCGCCGCGCCTAGGCCGCAGCCACATTTTCAGGCCGCAGCCACATTTTCATCATTTTCGTGAGGAAGTCTCAGGCAAAACGGGGGAGTCCGGATCCGGTTGTTTTGTTGACGCCCGCTTTCCCTGTCAAAAACAATATAAAATGACATGTCTTGTTCTAACATAACCAAACTTCAAGAATCCTTTGCAAAAGATGACACGAAGTGCACACTCGCGCGCGCAAGATGAAATCCTTCCAAAACCTTAGTTTTCGTAGCGATTTTAACATAACAACATGAAAAACCCAATGGTTTTTCAAAAAAAAGTTTCAAAAATTCATCCCGCGCGCTCTTGCGGATTTCTTAGGAAACCCAATACTTTTTCAACATTTCTGTCAAACGGGCTCTTGCGAGCAACTTTTTCACGTGCTTCGAACTTCTGCAACAACGGTTGCGCGCCTGCCAGGGCCATCATCCCTGTCAAATAATACCATATGGGACACATTCGTTTTTCTTCGCGCGCGCACGCCGAAATCTTCAATTGCAGGGGGAAAAGTCGTATACTAAGCTAGCTTACAGAAAATGTTACCACAACAAGTCAGTGTACCCATGCGCCAGTGTAGTAGCCAAGGTCGTCCGCAGGCCACGAAGTGAGGTGTCCGAACGTCATAGGGCGGGAAGCTGGGTGTGGGTGGTGGCGATGAGTCGTTTGGAAATGTAGTAGAGCTTGAACCGGCCCCCCCACAAAGTGGGGGTATTGCCCGCCTCCTATGAAAACCCTGGCACTGGTGAGAACGGAGTGTCCCCACGTGCTAGTAATTGTTGTTGTTGTTGTTGTTGTTGTTGCTGTTGTTGTTGTTGTTTGTTGTCGTCGTCCCACCCGCAACCCGCCCAGCGACCCACCCGCGACCCACCCCGCGACCCACCCGCGACCCACCCGCGACCCACCCGCGACCCACCCGCGACCCGCCCCGCGACCCACCCGGCGACCCACGCCGCGACCCACCCGCGACCCACCCGCGACCCACCCGCGACCCACCCGCGACCCACCCCGCGACCCACCCCACGACCCACCCCGCGACCCACCCGCGACCCACCCGCGACCCACCCGCGACCCACCCCGCGACCCACCCGCGACCCGCGACCGCGACCCCCCGCGACCCACCCCGCGACCCGCCCGCGGCCCACCCCGCGACCCACCCGCGACCCACCCGCGACCCACCCGCGACCCACCCGCGACCCGTACCCCGCGACCCACCCGCGACCCACCCGCGACCCAAACCACGTTCAAGGTACAAACCACCATTTTCGGCGCCTGCGGCGGGCTTTTTTTGTATTCCTTCCAGGTGGAGAGCCCGCGACCCACCCCGTGACCAACTCGCGACCAACCCGCGATCCAAACCACGTTCAGGGTACAAACCACATTTTTCGGCGCCTGCGGCGGGCATCTTTTGCATTCGTTTCAGGTGGAGAGCCCGCGGGCCATCCGCGACCACGTTCAGGGTACAAACTACATGTTTCGGCGCCTGCGGCGGGCATCTTTTGCATTCGTTCCCGGTGGAGAACCCGCGGCCCACCCGCGACCCAAACCACGTTCAGTGTACAAACCAATGTTTGTTGGCGCCTGCGGCGGGTTGCTTTTGCATTCCTTCCAGGTGGAGGTGGAGAGCCCGCGACCCACCCGCGACCTAAACCACGTTCACTGAACAAACCAATGCCGCACAAACGCGGCGGCGGATTTTCGCATGCCGTCTGAGCCCGCAAGGACCTCTTCAAGCCCCGCGCATCCACACCAGCCCGTCCAGCAACTTTGCCCTGGCGAGTTGCCTTGATCAGAGAAGGCGGGAAGCATAAAGTGGAAAAAAGGACTGCGTTGCAGTTATCTTGGGAAAGGAGGGGGAGGCAGGAGGAGTAAACAGGGGACGAGGAGAACGCGGCAGAAGAGAGGATGTAAGGATAATGTGGAGAGAGAAAAGGAAGAGGAGCAGGAGGACGAGGAGGGGGAGGAGGGGAAGGAGGAGGACGAGGAGGGGGAGGAGGGGGAGGATGATGATGATGGGCGACAATGGGAGGACGATGATGGAGGCCGATGAGGGGGAGGACGACGATGGGAGGACGATGATGAAAGGACGAGGGGGGGAGAGGGAGGACGAGGAAGAACAGGAGGAGGAGGGAGGAGGAGGAGGAGGAGGAGGACGATGACGATGAGGACGAGGAGGAGGAGGAGGAGGAGGAGGAGGAGGAGGAGGAGGAGGAGGAGAAGATCGCCATCGACAGGGAAGGTGGGGGCTACGAGGTCCGCCGGCTCGACAACGCCCGCGTCGCCCGCGCCCGCCCCCTCACTCTTATCCGCAATTGCGGGGTGCTATATATAGGGGGGGGGGGGTGGGGGGGGGGCCGCGGGCCATGATGCCCATTATGCCCCAAACAATACAGAAACACGCTCTTGGCGCCATGGGGCTCGGGTATGGGCAGAACCCCCCTTAGCAAAACGCGGTCCAGTGAAAGCGACCTCGGGCCCAAACCTGGCGGGCGCAGGCCTGGAAAGTGACGGCCGCGGCGCCCTCTCGAGCACCGAGAACGGACAATTCACTAGTCGACGTGTCAGGGTAGGAGCTCTGTCCACCCCCAATGGAGACGGGAAGGGGCGGAGAGGGCCTCCAGCCGCACCCCCGGGGGGCACGCCTCAGCCGCCCCCTGGGGGGGAGGCGGCGAGGGCCACGGGCTACACGTCGTTCATGCCTGATCGTGCTCATCTCTAGCTGTGCTCGTTGCTAATTGTCCCTGGCCCCCCAATGGCCAGGAAGAGGCCCAGGATGGAACAATTAGAAACGGAAGAATCTTTGATGGGCCTGCTTTCCACCACCATCACCACAATTTGGAAGGGGGAAGGAGGAGGAGGAGGAGGAGGAGGAGGAGGAGGAGGAGGAGGAGGAGGAGAGGAGGAGGAAGGAGGAGGAGGAGGAGGAGGAGGAGGAGGAGGAGGACCCCCCCCCCCTCCAACTTCTGGTGCTGGAAACTCTTGGCCCCCCAGAAAAATCAAAGGACCCTCGAAGAATCGGAAGTCAACAGCGTGTGGGCGCTGGCCGGCAGGGCCCCGGGCTGCGCGCGGGCCGCGCTGCCCAGGCGCTGCCCTGGCGGGCCTCGGCGGGCCCCCAGGACCCCCTCCAGGGTCGCGAGAGAGGAGCAGAAGTCAACACGGGAGGGCCTCCTAGATGTGAGTCGGGCCTGTCCTCCTACAGGGAGATCTTGGGCAACAACTAAGACATAGTCAAAAGAGACACCACAATTATGAAAAGCTGCACCAAAGCTCGTTCCCAGACTATCTGTTGACTATTTTTGAACACTCCTCCTGTCGAGGGACGTGCCCGACTTCATCCCAGATCTTCGGCCTCTGGGGGCCCCTCCCCCGGGCCTCGGGGCCGCCCGAAAACGACCCAGGGCAGAACACCGGCCCGGGGGGATGGTTCAAGACCCCCGGGGTCGGCGTCACGAAAAAATCATGACGTGCTGGGCCCCCCGAAGAGGCCGGGGTCGTCTCAGCACCGGAGGAGTTTAAGAGAGACTGCGTGGATCTCAATATGGTTTCCGGCCACGCCGTGGGACCAGCGAAGCAGTGTTCGTTCGTGGCGAGGAGGCTGATTGGCGCAGCGCTGAAGACAAAAACGGCAAGTTATTATTATTCCTACTGGATTGTGGTAAAGCATTTGACTAGATCAATCCAACAGGTCTTTCTACAAGAACTGCAACACTTTGGAGTGCCAGCTGGGATGACGATATGGTGCGGGGCATCTGCCAAGCACGCAAGACGGGGGTACTACATCATCACAGTATACACAATCCTCTAGCATTGCGCAAGGTTGTCCATTTTTGCAACACTTGTTCATCATTGTTATGTCGATCGTTTTAGCGATGGTGGATACACGCCTGAATTTGGAACGGCCCAGCAGGCCATCCAAGCCACGCGTGGTTTCTGTACGCAGACGATACGATGCTCGTGGCCACGGACCCTAGCACCCTGCAAGCGCATCTGAATATGGTGGTAGATATCGGGGAGAAGTACGGCCTGGAACTCAACTCTGACAAAACAGTGTTGCTCAGGATTCGATCAGATGGACATGTCCTAGGGCCGGATGGCAACACAGTCGCGGTCAAAGAGCATGTTGTTTATATCGGTGGTCTCATCAACATCGACGGGAAGCCGCGAGCAGAGCTTACACGGCGCTTGGGGGAAGCGATATTCATCTTTCAGAAATTATGTACTGCCTGGAACCACGCCAACTTGACGAAAGCAAGGGATCTTGGAGTCGTGCGCATTCTCCAAGTTGCTGTGTGCTTCTCGAAGCGGACAGGGGTCGCACTGATGGTTTCCAAACCAAGTGCTTACGCAGAATTTTCAAAATCCTCCTGCTTGGTAACCCGCGTGAGCAATGCTGATGTACGTGAGCATGCCCGCGCGCCGCCTTTGACATCGAATCTATTGGAACGGTAATTGGCCATGTATGGAAAGCTTGCCTGGGGCAGAGCCGAAAGCGTATCAAGAAGGATGGTGTTCGAAGATGGTCAACCATTTTCTCTCTTGCCTCGCCACTGGAAGTCCCCACGAGCGAGAGGACGACCCCGGCTACAATGGACGACATACTTGCACGCTGAGGCCCTAGCTAGGGGAACGAACAATAAGATGAACATAAAAACTCGGAGGTCCGCGCGGATTTCTTGGGTACTCGCTGGACCCCCCCCCCTGGCGCGCGGAGCGCGCCAGGGGCGGCGCCGGAGGCGCCGCCAGGGGGCCCCAGCGCCGATCCGAGAAGTCCGCGCGGGCCTCTGAGCTTTTATGTTTATGTCATTGTTCGTTCCCCTACTAGCAGTGGCCAGCAACGACCCCGACACTCCTCAGAGTCTGCTGCAGAGTTCTTCGGAATGGCATGCGGCAGTCAGGCGGCGCTGCACCCTCTAGCTGATTGTTTGAACCCCTTCTTCCCCCCCCCCCCGCCCTCTCCTCTCCTTCTTCCCCCTCTCTTCCCCCTCCTCTCCTTTCCCCCTTCTTCCCCCCCCTGCTTCCCCCCCCCTTCCCCCTTCTCTCCTTTCCCCCTCCTCTCCTTCCCCCTCCCCTCCTCTCCTTTCCTCCTTTCCCCTCCCCCTTCTTCCCCCCCCCCTTCCCCCTCCTCTCCTCTCCTCTCCTCCTCTCCGCTCTCTCCCCCGCCCGTGGCGCTTGCAGGCAGCCGAAGAGCGGGCCACCCGCACAGCGGATGTTGGTTGCTGCGCGCCTCTTCCTCCCTGCATGGCGCATACGGTGTTGACATCTCTTCTTTGATGTTTACGCATGTGCAAGTACGTAGCTATTCCGCGCCAATGCGCCGTCTAGGTGCGGCTTCGAGTGTGTGTGTGTGTGTGCGTGAGCGTCTCAACACCGCTCAGGGAAAGATGAGCCCCCCAAAGAGGGCCTCCTGTTCGGAAGCGTCCGGGAATGTGTGTGAGCCGCCTCCTTCTGTGGGGCCGTTCGCCAATGAAAGGTCATGCCAAGACGAAGCCAGGATCGGGCTGGGCGAAAGGGGGGATAGCAAAGGGGGGGTTTGAGAATCAGCTCACGTAGCTGATTTTCCCAGCGCCTCCCAGCGCCGGAGGCGGCCATGCAGCAGATTTCGTAACCTCCCCTTTCCCGATCCCACCCTGTCGTTCGGCCCGACAGGACTAAAACAAAAGTCGGACCAGGAGATATCGGGGATCTCTGAGATCTGGCGCCTCTGGACGATGTCATATCGGAAACACCGCGGCCCATCCAGAGCGCGCCCTGGAGCGATCCTAAGAGCAGCCCAGAACGCTCATATGGGCCCGCCCGCCATGTCCCCTCTGAAGAACTTCATTCAGGAGGAGTTGCACGGGGGAGGAGCATGAGTAAGAGCAGACAGAGACGAACAGTATGTCTCAACCACCATGTGGTCTTGGGCACTCGTTTTGAATCCGCCGCAGCGCCCGGCGTCCTCGTCCCTCCTCCTCCCTCCTCCTCCCTCCAGCATCCTCCCCAGTCCCTGTTTCTGCCCCCCGCGTGACCCCACACGTCTCGTGGCCCCATCAGGGGCTCCGCCGAAGCCCCCCAGGGCGTGTGGCCGCATGCGGCACCACCCGACCGTTTCGGCACGCGCGCCTCGCACGCTCCGCTGCTCCGTGCGGAGCTCCACCGAAGCCGCCGTGGGGCCTGGCCGCAGGCGGCCCCCCCCCAGCCCATCTCGGCACACCCTCACGCGCTTCGTGCCTCACACGGGGGGCTCCACCGGAGCCCCCAGGAGGTCTGGCCGCAGGTGGTCCCCCAGCCAATTTCGGCACGCCCTTAGTTCGGGCATGTCCTCCTCCTACAGGGGGATTGTGGACGAGAAATGGTAAAGAATCGAAACATAACAAAAAGATACCCCAAAATAGTAAAACATTCGTCTCGAGAGTATGTTTCACAATCTTTGGATATTTCTCCTGTAGAGGGACAGGCCCGACTTAAGCACACCCCTCACGCTTCGTGGCCCCATAGGGAAGCCCACCGACGGCCTTGACGGTATTGTACCTTGTGCGCCACCACCGCAATTTCCGCGGCACACCCCTCACGCGTCTCGCGGCCCCACAGGGAGCTTATCCCGTTTCGCGGCGCATTGCCTATGAGGAGCGGGCAATCTCCTGCGCTACTTGCAGCTACTTTGGGTTGGGTCCTTCGCCAGGGCAACTGTTTTCTGCGATTCCGAAGCCAAGAGGTCTGACGAGCTGGGGCTCCTGGGGGCGGGGTGCCAGCGCCGCAAGCTCTGGGCTGGCCACCTCACTCCAGCGCGGCCGTGGCGCCGGCCGCCTCCAGCTGCTTCAGCGCCTCCTCGCAGATGTCCTTCGGCTTCGCCTCCAGCAGCTTCCCTGGGCTGTCCACCAAACCCTTCGCCTCCTTCAGGCCCAGGCCCGTGATGGTGCGGACCACCTTCAGGATGGCGATCTTCTTGTCCTTGGGCACCTCCTTCAGCACGAGGTCGAACTCGGTCTTCTCCGCGGGCTTCTCCTCCTCGCCCCCGCCGCCGCCTGCGGCGGGCGCCGCCATCATCACCGCGCCGCCCGAGGCAGACGCGTCCACGTCGAACGTGTCCTCGATGGCCTTCACGAGCTCGGACGCCTCCAGCAGGGTGAGCTCCTTAAGCGTCTCGACGATCTTGTCCACCCTCTCGGACTGCCGCACGACCAGGGAGGCACGAGGCGGCGCCCGGCGAGTGAGCTGCGCGCCCGCGAACGCCCTCGCGGTGGGCGGCTCCGCCACGAGGCGATCGCTGGAGGAGGCCCAGGACCCTGAGATCCGACGTTGCAAGCACACTGCAGCGTCGCGACAAATCACAGCTGGAGCCCTAGACCCCATCCTTCTGCCTCATGTTTCGAGCCGGATCGATGTGCGAGGGTCCTGGGGCCCCGAAGCGAGAGGCCTCCTGGAGGGGGTCGGAGTAGATGGGGTCGAAGGATTGCTTCGGCGATTCATCGCCGACGCATCGGCGATGAATCGGCGATGCTTTGGCGATGCACGGGCGATGCCGGCGATGCACTGGCGCCGTCGGCGTGGCGAAAGTCGGGCTCCGCATCGAGCCGCATCGCCGATGCATCGGCGATGCGGCGCGATCCTCCGACCCCACCGGCTCGGACCCCATCTGGGAGGCCTGGAGAAACTTGTGTAGCGAAAACGCCCGCTGTGAAACATTTTAGGAGGCTTGGAAATGGGCACCAGCACGCACACAGGGGGGTGCCTCCACCAGGGTAAAATTATCCTAGAGTCCAGTGTTGATGGTAATCTTTCGGCCGCCTAAGAAGCCAGTTTATGATCAACACCACCGAGATCGGGCGCTGGAGGCACACCGCCGATATAGGTACCTTGAGCAGGGACCGACCGTCCTGGCATTCCTATATGAAGAGGCCCTGGAACACACAAATAAATACACACACATAAAAAAAGATTCCCCAGATTTTGCGATATTTTCTCGGGTTGTCTTCCCGCCCAATTCCCATATTTTCCCATAGTGTCATGGGAATCGACGATTCATTGTGTCTGTGTGTTTTTTCCCCTCCTGACTATAGGCCTACCACGAAATGTGCTCAGAACCCAAGAATGTTCTCAGAACCAGAGCAATGTTCGCAGAACACGAACCAGATGCGTTAAGGCACGATGGTCTCAGCCAGAAGTGTTATACGAACATTTCGTACAGACCACAAAGGATTCTTAGAACATTCTTCGGTGGGCCTGTACGCGAGCCGAGACGCTTCGCCACTGCCTGAGGTGTTGGTGTCAACCTATAGGCCTCCGACACTTGCAGCTTCAAGATCTCAGGGGAGAGCACGGCACCGACCAGCGCGGCGACCGCCAGGGCCAGCGCAGGGGCCGAGCTGCCGCCGCGGCGGGGCATCCCAGCAGCGAGCTGCGGCGGCGGGCTCGCTCGCCTCCGGGGGCCGGCTGCGCGCGGGGAGCGACCTGAGCCAAAGCGGCCACGGAGGGGATTTTTAGCTGAGCGCTCTCCATGCCACTCGAGCCTCTGATTTGGCAACCTTCGAAGGTGGCGTCCTGGACTTCATGGCTTCATAGTAGCTTGTGGGTAAGTTCTTTCTTGGAGGCGTGTCTAATAACAGTCCTATCATTGAATTAAACATGGGTTCAAAATGTGTGAGACAGTTTGTGGACATGTTGACAACATGTTTTACATGTTTAGACATGCGTTCGACATCTGGAAGTTAGTTGACAACACGCTTCCTCTCCACTGATCGTCCTCCACAAGGGCGTGTGCACTCGTACGAGTAGGAGGGACGCGCTCGACTTACCACCCTGGCCTTTGATGTGGCAACATTCGAAGATCGTGGACTTCCATGGCTTCATAGGAGGCTTGTCGGTAAGCCCTTTCTTGGAGGGGTGTGTTGAAGGGGCCCTGGGACAAACAAATACATACAATAAACAAATAACCAGATTCCCTATAGTTTCCAATATGTTCTAGGTTTTTGTCTGCCCCCCCACTCCCCATATTCTCCCATATTATCAGGAGAGTCGACGATTCATTGTGTCTGTGTGTTTCTTTTCCTCCTGATGTGTGCAAATACATAAACATAAAAACGCGGAAGTCCGCGCGGATTTCTCAGATCGGCGCTGGCTCCCCCTCCCCGGCGCGCGGAGCGCGCCAGGGGCGGCGCCGGAGGCGCCGCCGGGGGCCCCAGCGCCGATCCGAGACATCCGCGCGGACCTCCGAGTTTTTATGTTTATGTCACTTCTTGTTCCCCGGATAGAGGCTCGTCGGTGAGTCCATTCTTGGAGGGGTGTGTTGAAGGGGCCCTGGGACAAACAAATACATATAATAAACAAATAACCAGATTCCCCATATTTTCCCATATGTTCTAGGTGTTTGTCTTCCCCCCCCACTCCCCATATTCTCCCATATTATCAGGAGAGTCGACGATTCATTGTGTCCGTGTGTTTCTTTTCCTCCTGATGTGTGCAAATACATAAACATAAAAACGCGGAGGTCCGCGCGGATTTCTCGGATCGGCGCTGGCTCCCCCTCCCCGGCGCGCGGAGCGCGCCAGGGGCGGCGCCGGAGGCGCCGCCAGGGGCCCCAGCGCCGATCCGAGACATCCGCGCGGACCTCCGAGTTTTTATGTTTATGTCACTCTTTGCTCCCCCGATAGAGGCTTGTCGGTGAGTCCTTTCTTGGAGGGGTGTTTGTCTTCCCCCCCCCACTCCCCATGTTTTCCCCCCCCCACTCCCCATGTTTTCCAATATTTTCTGGAGGGTCGACGATTCATGGTGTCTGTGTGTTTCTTCTCCTCCTGATGTGTGCACTCGCGCGATGCTTTCCCATGCCGCCCCCGCGCCGTGGGGCGCGCGCGGCCCCCCCGCGCGCAGGGTCGGACCCTCTCGAGCTCGCGTGTCGCTGCGCCGCAGGACTGCGGCCCGGGCAGGCGGTCCGCTGCGCCACGGCAGCGCATCACGGCGTCGTCTGCGGAGAGCGACTGGAGGCTCCGTGTGGAGCGTTCAAGGATATCTGAATCCTCTGGGCCCGTCGCCTGACAACTGAGAGTCGCGGTGAATGTCGAGTCTCGCTGCGCCGCAGGACTGCGGCCGGGCAGGCGGTCCACTGCGCCACGGCAGTGCATCACGGCGTCGTCTGCAGAGATCGTGTGCGTGAGCGTCTCAATACCGCTCAGGGAAAGAGATGAGCCACTCCCAAAGAGGGCCTCCTGTCCGGAAGCGTCCGGGGATGTGTGTGAGCCGCCTCCTTCTGTGGGGCCGTTCGCCAATGAAAGGTCATGCCAAGACAAGCCAGGATCGGGTTGGGCGAAAGGGGGGGATAGCAAGGTGGGGGTTTGAGAATCAGCTCACGTAGCTGATTTTCCTGGCGCCTCCCGGCGCCGGAGGCGGCTACGTATCGAGGAATGGGCCCCTTGGTGAGGCCGAAACCAGCTGCATGCAGCAAATTTCGAACCCCCACCTGTCCCAATCCCCCCCTTTCGCCCGACCCGAAGAGAGCGACTGGAGGTTCCGTGTGGAACGTTCAAGAGTAATTATCCGAATCCGCTGGGCCCATCGCCTGAGAACTGAGAGTCACGGTGAAGGTCGCTTTCCGACTGCTTCCCCTCCTCACCATGGCAAAGGACTCCCCTACTGCCCTTCCGACGGAGCCCCAGTGCAACTGCACACATGCGTTCAGAGAACACGTCGTGCAAGACATCCTCCAGCAAGCCCGGGCGATGTTCTGCCGTTTTGATGCTGGGGGGCGAGCGTGCCCCCGAAGCTGAGCCAGCTTCCCGGCAGGGTGGTTGAGGAGCGGTGGCCCGGCCTGTCGAGAGGAGGCTTCTTGATCAGATGCTCGACTGTGGAGCACGCTGCAGAAGACTTGCAACGAGGTCACTCCTGATCCGTTGGAGAGGAGGTCTCTGCACGTCTGATCTCCCAAATCTGGGGGGTATACTCGCTGCCTTCTCCCGTCTTCTTGCACCTAGGTGGGCCCGTGCGCATCTCAGTGGCTACAGAGGAGGAAGCGGATAAGGACGCGGAGGAGGAGGAGGAGGAGGAGGAGGAGGAGGAGGAGGAGGGTGAGGGGTAGAGGATGCGGGAGTCGACGTTGGTGGTGGATGGTGGTGACGATGGTGAGGTGGAGGAGGGGCCGCACAGGGACGGGAGGAAGAGGACGCCGGGGAAGGAGGGGAAGAGGAGGGAAGGAGGGCGCTGCGGAGGGGGAGTCGCAAAGAAAGGAGAAGGTCAAGGAGGAAGGGAGGGAGAAGGAAGGGGGTGAAGGGGAGAGAGGGGTGGACAAGGAAGAGGGGAAGGAACTGGGTAATGATTTCAAGGAGGGGGAGGAAATGATGGGGAATGATGAGGAGTGGGAGAAGGTGAGGAAGGTAGTAATGAGGCGGAAGCTGAGATGAGAGGTGGAGCTAGATGACGAGAAGGAATGGGAGACGGAAGAGGCGAACGACGAGACAGGGGAGGATGACAAGTAGAAGGAAGGAGGATAGGGATGACGAGGAAATTGAGGAGGATGAGGAGGAGGATGAGGAGGAGAGGGAAGCGAAGAGGGAGAGGAGACAAGGAGCAAGGGGGAGGAGGACGAGGAGGAGGGTGTGGAAGAGGAGTGCGCTGTGGAGAACACGACACTGACGAAAGGAGGAGGTAAGAGGAGGGATGACAAGGCGTATAAGGAGGGGGACAGGAGGGGAGGGGAGGGGGATGAGAACGAGTAAGAACATGAGGCAAAGGACGCAGAGGATGAGGATGAGGATGAGGATGAGGAGGAGGAGGGCGAGGAGGAGGAGGAGCAAGATGAGGAAAATGAGGGAGGAGGAGGACACGCAGCAGCAGAGCAACAGGAGGCGGAAGAACTATCCTGGCGAAGGATCCAACCATATGCAGTTATGAGCACCGTCGTTGAACGCACTGCATTCGGAGGAGCTCCCTATAGGGTCACGAAACGTGTGAGGGGTGTGCCAAATGTTGTCCGGTGGGCGCATGCGAAAGCAGTCACTGGGGCCGTCGGTGGAATTCGCTAT